AGGAGTCAGGGCTTCTGTCCATGTGCCAGGATGTGTGTGAAGGGATGGAGTATCTGGAAGCTCACAGCTTCATCCACAGAGACCTGGTGGGTTCAGAATAACTTGATGACACAGAAACTCCACCTGAAACCCAAAGTTATTGACTGTTGAATTTAACTTTTGTTTCTCCCTTCTTCTGTGGGATGTGGTGTTTGAATGTCCTGCTGTCCAGGCAGCCAGAAACTGTCTGGTTGATGAACATAAGGTGGTGAAGGTCAGCGACTTCGGAATGACCAGGTAGCACAGAACAGTAAAAAGAAGCCAAAATAATAAATGTACTGATAAATTTGTCCATGAACTGTAGTTAAGGTTTGTCTGGTACAGAGTACAGCAGAAAAAGCCAAAATTTGCCCAAAAAGTAGACATAGACATTTGGACAAAATCTGTCTCCTTATTTCTCAGGTACGTCCTGGACAACCAGTACACCAGCTCCAGTGGGGCCAAATTCCCAGTGAAGTGGTCTCCACCTGAAGTTCTGCACTTCAACAAGTACAGCAGCAGCTCCGACGTGTGGTCCTATGGTAAGTGTCGTCGGAACCAGGAGCAGGGACACATGAAACGTCCTGGAGTTTGTCCTCTGACTGGGGCGTGTCTTTATGTAGGCGTGGTCATGTGGGAGATCTTCTCAGAGGGTCGATCTCCGTTTGAAAACCGCTCTAACATGGAAGTAGTCAACGACATCACCAGAGGGATCCGTCTGTACCGACCACATCGAGCCTCCAGACGTCTCTACGCCCTCATGTACTCCTGCTGGCATGAGGTCTCTGACTGCGCCCCCTACTGCCACATTTACACAACAAAACCAAGAAAACAGTTTGTTAATGTTTGTGTCTGCTTTTTTTCTGGTACAGAAGCCTCGGTGTCGACCGTCTTTCTCTGAGCTGCTGGAGGACATCAGACAAATGGCAGAAAACCCAGACTAACATATACACATTAATTTTATTATTATTTTTATTTTTTACAAATTTCATTTTTGTTAAAAACCTCTGTGACCTTTCTAATTTTATTATTATTTTTTTTTACAAATTTTATTTTTGTTAAAAACCTCTGTGACCTTTATTATCAAAACCCAAAATACTATTTCACATTTTCAATAGTCAATAGTTTAAAGTGAAATGAAATTGAATCAAGGAGGTGAAAAAAATCACAAAAAAATTTAAAGTGAAAACTAGAAAGAGTCTGAAGAGTGACTGCAGAGACTTCAATGTTGACCTTTGTGACCTTTGACTTGGTCAGAGTTTTAATGAAGCATTTTCAAATCAGAGCAAACCTCACATTTTAGACCAAACTTGAATGGAAACCTGTTCAGATGATTGAAGCTCATCAACAGGTTCTGATCTAGAACCACCTGAGGAATTGTTCCTGCAAAACCGATGGAGACACCACTGAAGAAGAAAGAGGAGATTTTAAAAATGTTCTAAGAACTTTTTGACTGATGCTTCTATCCATACAGAATAAAGAAACTGCTGACGTGTGTTGGCTTTTGTGTAATGTAATCATCTGCACTGATCGTTGTGTTGGCGGGGAGGGGTAACCATAGCAACGTTTGGTAAGAGATAGCCACCCACTTATACACACAGACACAGAGACACGTTACTTCATTGTTTGTGTTGACAGAGGTTCACTACAGAGATCGAAGGAGAATTCCTTTACGGTTAGTTTCTCTCTGTGTGTGCGCGCTGTGTTAAAACTTTATCTTTTTTCACCTCTTTCTAAAGAAACTATCTTCAAAGGTCAGGAGGAAAAGAGCACAGAAAAGAGGGGGAAGGGGGAAAGAAAATAAAGCAAACGGAAGAAAAAAAGAGCTAACCTTTTCTTCGGACCTGTATTTTTCCATCTTTTGATCTCCAGTTGTATAGTTCTTGTTCACTGTTCCTTCCTTCCTCCGTCTCCTCTCCTCCCGTCCTCACATCTGCTTTTCTAATGAAACATCAAGCCAAAATCAATTTGGTCTGTGTTTTTGTCTAGTCATGGAACATTATGAGTCTCTGGGTCTGTTGGGTGAGGGCAGTTATGGCACTGTGCTCAAGTGTCGCCATAGAGACTCTGGACGTCTTGTTGCCATCAAGAAGTTCGTGGACTCTGACGATGACAAAACAGTGAAGAAGATCGCTCTGAGAGAGATCAAGCTGCTGCGGGTGTGTGTCATTCAACTCACATTTTGATTATTGGTTATAGAGAACACTGGGACAAGAATGAAGAACTTCCTGTGGATGACTTCTCTGTATTTAACTCTCCATGAAGCAACTGCATCACAAGAACTTGGTGAACCTTCTAGAAGTGTGGAAACGGCGGCGGCGCTGGTATCTGGTGTTTGAGTTCGTGGAGCGAACCCTCCTAGAAGATTTGGACCAGAACCCTGGTGGGCTGGACGACAGCACCAGCCGTCAGTACCTGTTCCAGATCCTGAGCGCAGCTGCCTTTTGCCACCAGCAGAATGTGAGGGAACCTGACCTGTCCAAACTCTGAGGTGGTCCTGAGAGACTCCAACGTTTCAGCCCTCCCTCCCCTTTCCTGTTTGTTGCAGATCATCCACCGAGACATTAAACCAGAGAACGTACTCATCTCTCAGGGGGGTGTGGTCAAGCTGTGTGATTTTGGATTTGCCAGAACCTTGGCGTCACCAGCTGAGGGTGGTGTCTACACAGACTATGTGGCCACTCGCTGGTACAGAGCCCCTGAACTGCTGGTGGGAGACATAAAATATGGAAAGTAGGTGTTTCATCTAGGAATGTCTAATATTAACTTTTTGCAAATATCCGATGTATATATGTCGATATTGTCCAAACAATTAATTTCCGATTCCGATATCAACCAACACCAATTTATGCATCCATTTTCCCCCAAAACTGAGGTAAACATCTCAGTACCCCATCAGGGATTCCAGCACATTTGTCAAAACCCAGGCATTGTATTATCGGGTTTTTAGTATTAGAGGTGAAACCGATAGCGATTCTTATAGATATTACATAATTATGCTAATATTGGGTTGATAATATCTGTCGGCCGATAATATCGGACATCCCTAGTTTTATGTTTACATCTTTTTTCCAAAATCCGTCTGATAATGAGAAGCTGTTTTGCCTTTGTGTACAGACCAGTAGATGTTTGGGCTGTCGGATGTCTGTTGCTGGAGATGCTTTCAGGTCAGCCGCTGTTTCCTGGAGACTCTGACCTTGACCAGATTCACCACATCGTCAGATGTGTTGGTAAGTACTCGCCATAATAAATGCAGACAAAGTTTGGAGACAAAGACCATGACCAGTCAACTCTCCCAAAGGACATGGTCCTCACAGGGGAACATGGAGGTGGAGACTGACTTGTCTTTGTTCTGTAGGAAACCTGATTGCCCGGCACCAGGAGCTTTTCTACCGAAATCCTGTCTTTTCTGGAATCAAACTGCCAGAGGGCCGTGATCAACAACAGCTGCATCAACGATTTCCCTCCATCACAGCCACTGCCCTGGATTTGGCACAGGTACAGTCTGAAGAGTCTGACAAACCTCTCCTCTAGGTGAATCCAACATTTTTGTGGACGCCCAGGTTTTTTCTGCAGTGTATATTTGATGTACCTGCTGAAAACACTTCAAACCTTCAACGTAACATCACATGTCTGATACCTTCATACCTTCTCTGTCAGAGTTGTCTCCAGGTGGATCCTGAAAGACGAGCTAAATGTTCTGAGCTGTTAGGACATTCCCTTTTTACAGAGGACTCTTTCCACATCAGGTACAGTTCCTTGGTGTGTCTGTGCTCCAATGACAATCCAATGACAACCATCATGTGAAGGTGTTGAACCATGCTCAGCGCTACAGTTTGAATGTCTCTACAGGTTTCTGAATGAGCTGGCTGCAAAAATCAGAAAAGACAATAGAGACAATGAAAGTTTTCCTAAGCTTACTAAAACCACAACACGGGGAAGGGAAGATGGGAACAGGATGAATCTGCAAGAAAAAGACAGGAGAAACAAAAGGGACAAAGACAAAGGAGACCGAAAAAAAACATTAAAACTGCCTAAAACTGTGAGGAACATCACAGAACCTTTGATGTCCACCAAGCAGTCCAAGGTTGTGGGAGGTAGGGTTAACCGAATTACAGAAAAAGAAAAAGTTGGGGCAACCAACAAAAACAAACCAGAATGGACCAACGCAGCATCGTTAGAGAAGGACCATGAGAAAAGACAGTGGTCGAAAGCTCTCAAATTTGGCTCCTTAGATGGAACTAAGACTCCAACAAGCCTGAAGGACCAGAGTTCTCAGGCTAATAAACAAGGGGAGGAATCCATCGAAGCAGTGGGAAACATCTCCGGATTTTCTCCATCAAATTCAAGTCAAAATGACGGCAAATCCCAGATAATGAAAAAGCCAGGAGTGTCTAAATTGTTGGAAATCTGTGGGAAAGATCACTTGAACGTGAGGTTACCGTCAATAATTCCTTTGGAAACACCTGTCAGTCAGAACGACAATAGTGAGGAGTCTCAATTGTCTCCACTTTCGAGGAATGCTGATGAGGATGAGGTGACAGCGTTAAGCTCCTCCCCCTCTGGCACCACACCATACAAGGTGTCTTGTTTTTCAGAACAACAGATCAGTGAATGTTCAAAGGTCATACCTCCAAACTCTAAACTCTCCAAGAAGACCAAAACCAACACCTCGAAGCCCCATGCTTCAGATGTGGTTATTAAAACAAGTCCTGCTGATCGTTAGGGGTACCAAAGTCCTGAGACCAGCTCAACACCAGCAGCAAAAACCAGCAGTAAAGATCACATCAAAGAGTTAAATGATTGCAAACCAAGACAAGAAACCAAAGTGTTTGCAAACTTCCTTTTGGTCTCTTGTGATTATAGGAGGCAACTTTTAGAGGACTCGTGCGAGATCTTCAGTTTCCATCAAGAAAATGCCAGTAAGCCCAAGAACACCGTGAAATCCAGACCAGGCTCAGACGTAAGGGAATACTCCAAATCTGATGCAGCTAGTGAGTGTCCTTCAGGATTTAAAGGTTCTGAGAGAAGAGATTGAGAGAAGATTTAACTTTTTGTGTCGACAAGCTCTCTGGTGGAGGAATCCTTCAGAGTCTCCAGAGATAACTGTGAAGTGAACTTTGAATCCCTCATCAAACACGTCGAGTCAAACCACGTCTACAATCCAGAACCATGAAGACAGAGTTATCTTTGTCCACCAGTCTGTGGACACCACACATGAGATCTGATACGTTCTGTATTTCCAGGGCAGGAGGGTAGAGATGGTACGTGAAGTTCTGCTGGGGAAAGAGGCAGTATTCAGGGACAGGGTACCTGTAGACGTCCATGTACTTCAACAGGTCAAGTTAATTTTTTTTACAGGTCGGTGCCATAGAGGGGAGGACAGACACAAGTAGAGTGTCTCCATCAGGACACAACAGTAGAAACAGATGCAATACACACTCACTTTAACACAAGGCTTTCATTTGTTTCTGATTTTTGCTTCCTGTTAGCTGTTCTGCAAATTTTCAAAAACGAATTTCTACTACTATACTATTAGATTCCGTTTAACTTTTCCCAGTTATTATTTTCTTAGAGTACTTTTTACAGTATTTGCAAGTTCAACGTATCTTTAGCTAGGGTTATTTCTGAGCTTTAACCAATCAGCTAGCAAGCTTTTGGCTAATTTGACTGGACTCTTACATTTGTAACTAAACTAACGAATCTCTTTTGGAATTATTTGTTATAATTTGTTATTATCTTTGTGCTAACTTCTAGCTCGTTTGAATATTTTGTGCTGACCGTGGAGACGATCTTAGTTTGTTATACTTAAGCTCAGACTTTGCATCTTTTGGTCATTTCTATGCATTTTATGACAACGTTTTAAATGTACCATGCTCTTGTTCATACTTTTGAGTACTACAGCTGTACTACCTGTAAGTGTAATGAATACCTTACAAACCCATATAAAAAATGTATTGTTCTGTGTACAGATTTTCTTTAATGTGACCATTTTTTAAAAAAAAGATTACAATATTAATTATATGTAAATAAAAACTTTTAACAGAAAAATTGTACATTTTTAGAAATGATTGTATAAAGATAGAAAGAATCATATATAATTATATATATATAATTACATTTCAGGATGATCATGATGTGTCATTGTGACTCATTGCTGGATTCCTCTGAGGACGACGAAACCTCAGCTTGCCTTTTTGGAGATAATTTGCCATTATGTGATGTCACAGGTTGTTGTCTTCCTATTGGCTGAGGCACAGAGTTGCGGAATAACGTTCCTGTGTGCCCTCTGCTATTAGTCAGGAGTCGGAACAGGAAGTAGGCTGCAGCATGGGAGTTGCTGTTTGGGATTGGCTGTGGTTGTGGCTGTGGCCTGATTGGTTCTGGTTTCTTGGGTAGCTTCTGTGCGGTTGCCATTTTGATTGTTTTATTTTCCTGTTTGATTGACAGTTGCATAGAAGTCACATTTAGTATCTTGAAAAATAGAAAATGCAAAACTCAAACAGAAAGGTGATTTTTTAGGTCTTAAATTTATTGGCCACTTCGTTAGGTACATCTGTGGAACTGCTTCTTATAAAAAGATCTGATTAGCAGACTTTTGACTTTATTTATTTCAAAGTGTAACTATCATCTTTCATCATGTATCATCTGCATAACATTTGATACGTTTTCTTGTCTATGAAAATATTGTTTTATTTTTATTTATTCATTTTCCTACAGGAAGGAATGTTAACACTGATAATTACCTTCCTCCTGATAGGTGCCGTAGCTGCTGCTGTTGTAGAAGGCCTGGTCGTAGTGACAGGGTCAGGATCAGGTGTAGTGTCTGAGGAAGTCCTACAGGTGTCTTCCACTGCAAAACCATCAATCTCTGGAAATGCAAACTCTGGCACAGCAAACACTACAAAATGGACATTTTGAATGACCTGAGCCCTGGGTCTTTGTTGTCATGTGACCATTAAAGTATCAGTTGTCAGCTGATGGTCTCTGCTGCATTTTAATGATGATGACTTTAAAGGTTTGAATAAAATAGTTCTTTACTCACCAACAGTCATAGCCACAGATAATAAGATACTGAGAGCTGAGAAACTGCAGGACATGACTTCAGATGGAGACGTCCACCAGAGAAAAAGTGAAGGAGCACAGAAGGAGAGGGAGGCATTTAAAAAGAAGTGAGAAGGAGGAAGAGGTGAAGGAGAAGTTGGATCATGTCTAGACTGTGAGGATTAGTCAGAGTTTCATCACAGAAACCACTGATAATCCATTCTATTTCTCAAAACTTTACACACACATACACACACTCTGTCTGTCTCTCTGTTCCAACTATGAATTGAAGAGATATGTCGTTTTTGATATTCATAGGTGGCATTAATGCTAAAGATACAAACAACAGAGCTAACGTTAGCTATAACAGTCTTGCTACAGACTCCAGAGCTAATGTTAGCTAAAAAATGTCCTTTTACAGTCAAACCATGTAACTAACAGTTCAGAGCCAAAGTCTTCAAGTAGTCTTTTAACATAACAGTGAAATAAGTGGTGAATTTTCTTCAGCAGTCAGACACACCTTGATGACTGTTCAACCCTTTAATCTCTCTGATCTCTCTGGATCAGTGGTTCTTCACTTGGTCGTCTCTTTGTGTCCTCGGCTCAATGGCAATTTAACACTCCACCTGTCACACGCATGCACGCACACACAGCTGTTAATATCCGTGGTTACTATGGAGGCCAGTGTCTTCTTTCATTCACAGCGACTGTGCAGTCACGTTTTTTTAAGGAAAGGTTGTAAACAGAAAACAGAAAAGAAATTGTAGTAAAAGTTTTCAATAATCTCAATGTTTTATTTTGCAAAACAAAAATTAAACCTAGAGTGCAACAATTAACAGATACAGTACAGTGTGTTAGTAAGTGAATATTATTCACTTTTTTTTTTTTTTTTTACAATTTTCTATTGGAGGTCACAGAATGTTCAGGTTTTTATGGAAAATTTCAGGAAAACTTCCTGATAAAACGCAGCTTGAAGTAGGTGATGGCCAGGAAGCAAATCATCATGATGCTCAGAGCCACATGGTTCTGCCAGAAGCCCCAGGTGCTGAAGTCCACACCCTGCTCCGCCAAAAACTCCTCCCCGGTGCAACTGTGGATGAAACACAAGGGTTCCTTGTGAAACATGCAAAAACTCTGTCCCCCTGAGGCCAAATTTGGAATTACAATGCATCTCTTTGACCTTTTCTCACAGTCATTTACCTAAAGTTAGCTATGGCTAACTTTTAAACCTCTGTTTACCATGAAATACTCACTTACAATTTAGCTAAAAATTAATTCATGATTATTTTATATAAATTCAATCATTTTGCTGTGTTATTTACAAGCTCCTAAAAATGTGTGAGCGCTAGGTTAACCTAGGCTAACCTAGCTAGATAGCTAAGACAGCTATTACTTTCCTCTTTATGGACAATTTCTTGGCTTTGTAAGAAGAAACTGTCTTCAGCTAACACTTGGAATTACCCCAGGGGTAAACTTGACCCTGTGTGATTAGAGTGTTTTGAAGGTGAAGGTTAATTTAGTTTAATAAACATAGTCTGCTGTCAATGCACCTATTGTCCAGTGGGTGGAGCTTTGGACTTGTTCAAGACATCTGAGGTTTGTTAGAGTGAGTGTGTGTGTGTGTGTGTATGTGTGTGTTTCCTACGCCAGTCCAGGTGGGATGGTACTGATGTTAAGTCCATGACAAAAGACCAGATCAGTGAACTCGTTTATCTGCAGAGCCTGGAAATACACACACGAACACACCATCAGAACAAGATCATTGGGTGTGTGTGTGTGTGTGTGTGTGTTTGTATGGCAGTAAACAACATACACTTAAGCCGTATCGTGGGATACTCAAATACTTTAACCAGGAGAGCCAGCTGGCAACAGATGGCAGGTTCACCAACAGACCTGCAAAAATCTTTGGAGAAAATACATTTTTTAAACATTTTGTTGTATCTTTGTAAACAATGTTTTGGTTACATTTGAGTTAACAGTCTAGTATTGTTGTAAACAGTGACTAGTGTTTCACTTATATATTTTTGGCAAACTTAGCTGGCTGATTTTGAGTTAACTCTGGGCTAATTCTAACTTATATAAACCTTGGTTTATCTGGCTAAGTTTCCCTTGGCTGTTAGCTACCATTTAGCCTAACCCTGTCAACAACGGAAGTTCACTGACCATCATGAAGACAAAGGTAATTGTGAGGAAGATGTTAGCGATGGCCACCACTGTCTGGTCGGCAGAGATGGCAAACACCATGGAGGTGGCCGTGTAGGAAACTAGCATGACGCTGAACATGAAGAGGAAAAAGGCCTCCACCGTCGGCTTCAGACCTGCAGAAAACAAAAATGACATAATCACCATCAATAGAGGACCAGTGCTAGCAAATGAGCACAACAACTAACAAGTAATTCAAATAAACGCACAATTTAGCAGAAACAAAAAAAGATAGTAAAAAAGGAGGTAAAAAGTTTCACCGATCAAGAAGTAGGACACGCAGCTGAAGATGATGGCAGGAAAGGTCCTCAGCACCAACATGTCGGCCATAACTTTGGACAGGAAGTAAACGGAAAGTCGGTAGTAACCGCTAATGTATTCATGACTGCAAGAAATGAAACAACTGTCATGGTTAGCTAGAAAAAAGAAATCAGAATATATACGATTCAGATTGAGATTGAACATTTGCTGAGGTCACTAAACAGTGTCCAAAAGTCAAAGTAAGGCTGAGGTTGAAGAGTTCTGTTAGGCAACTGGACGTGAAATTTTCTCAAAGAAGACGTTTCCCCTCTCATCCAAGAGGGTTCTTCAGTTCTAACTGGTGGTGGTGAGTACAGGAAATACATATTCTGGGTGTAATGAAGAATAAAGGTACTTAGATCCCCTCTATTGGATGGGGCATTGGAGATTGTTAGGAGTCTGATGGGTCGTTGCAATCCTCATTAGAACGGTTTTGGTCTCCTAACGACTGTTTACACTTTCCCAACAGGGTGGACCTGAAGGAGCTTTATTCTTTGTTACACCAAGAGGATATATCTGCTGTACTCACCACCACCGGTTAGAACTGAAGAAGCCTCTTGGATAAAATGTCTTCTTTGAGATAACTTCATATCTATATTTAGTTGCCTAACAGAACTCTTTAACCTTGACTTGGAGGACTGAGACTCTTTATAGACAAAGTGAGGCTGGTTATTGGACAGAACAGAACATGATAAAGAAAATGTCTTTATGGTGGTCGATGAAAACAAGGTTACACATTTGATAACAGGCTCTCAGGAATACTGTAGCTACAGGTTAGCTAAAAATACAAACATATATAGTGTGTGTGTGATTGTGTTTGTCTCAGACTCACATAAAGAGTTTCCTGTTGGTGATGAAGAGTTCTGCTGATGACACAGTACTGAAACACTGGTTAATAATGATGAAGAAGAGCGCCCCAAACCTAGAACAGAATAGATCAGAATACAATGGAATACAATTTCATTAAAAAAAAAGCATTACCTGTTTTGCATCCCACTCTGATTTTCCTGGACGTCAAAGAAAATAACTCCAACAATCAGAGCCAGGAACATGGTTACTCCGAGCTAAGAACAGAAAGACAGCTGTCATATCTGAGGCTGCAGTTCCTCTGACCTGCATCAGCGTAACTAGCTTGAAGCTATCCATAAAATAACTGAAAGTTATCTCATAACAAGCCAAAGCTTAGCTCAAAACTAATTATCAAAGATAACTAAATGCTAATTTACAATGAGCTAAATGTTCAGCAAATACAGACGCAAATTATCCACAAGGTGTGTAAAGAGGTGATTTTTACCATAGCCACCGACGTCTGAGGGTTAAGCAGCATGTTTTTGAAGGTTCTCTTTAGAACCCACTTTAACTGTGTAGTGAAGCCTGTGTGGTAGGTAATGGTTCTGGGGCGGGAGGAGTTGCTGGTCTTTTTCCCCAGTATGATGCTCTCTAACAGGAGGCAGAGAGACAGACAAATTTATTCACCAAAAAATTTGTCTAAAATAAAGCTAAAATATCTGAATGTGATCAGAAACCCAGCTAAAGATCAACAATTCAATTGATAGTTTTCCGATGACATCACGCTACCACCCATAGTTCTGTAGTCCGCCATCTTGTGGGGCAACACAGCATATAGACAGATATTAAATACACAAAAGAACACCAATAATGGTGTAAACACTGTGTTGTGTGGGGTTGTACCAACCGATCTGGGGATGGAGCTCGCAAGATGAAGTTTTATGACATAAAGCGGTCTGCCTGGAGGATATTTCAACAGAAAGAAGAATGCTATGGCTTTTACGTATTAGCCGTGCTAATTTCAACCCAGATCCAAGCAAAAGGCATTACAAAGTCTGTTCTGAACACTTTATTTCAGGTAATTACATTATACTTTTATTTAATTTATATGTTCAATGTCAATAAAATTAAAATATATCAAAATGTGCTTTGCATACACGACAAATGGACACAATGCAAAGGTAAATCCTCCATGTGAACTGTTATTCTAATGATGTTCACAAAAGACATACATCCATACATGCCACTGTGATTTTTACATTAACACGCTGTATTATTCTGTTAATAAATACCGCATTATCTACATTGTCTGGCTAATTTTCAATGTCTTCCACTCTGCTTTGTTGACTACGTATGGGTCTTATTTTCAACTTGTCCAAGTATCTTGCCTTTGTAATTGTGTCTAGTGAATCTCAGAACAATTTCGCCTGCTCCGGCGATTTGATATTCTTGTCTTTTGTTGTCATTATCGATTGTTTACGTCTACCTGTTCGCGTCTTTTGCCACCCAACATGGCCGACGGCGCGATGCATCATGGGTAATAATGATTATCGAAAAACCATCTATTTTTTATTGCATAACTTAATTTTCTTGGGTTAAGTTATACGTTTTTCCTCTTCTTCATCTTCTTTAAGCTTTGCCGTCCCCCGTTTGTCAGTTAGTCATTCACAATATACAGAGTAGTTCTGTAGGGTCCTCGCTTCAATCCAGTTGGCGGTAATAAGCCTAAACGCTGTCAGCAACCGTCACTAGCAGACGAAGAAGAAAAGTGACGCAGTGTGTGGGTGAGAGTGTTGAGCATGATGTGGAGTTGAAAAAGCCTCCGGCCTCATTTAAATCACCAGTGTGGGAACGGTGCAACATAACGATGATGACACGCGAGTGGATCGGACAAATACTGTTTCCGTCGATGTTGCGCGGAGGTTCGGTAAGTCGCTGGGTACGTCGAATATGCTAACGCACGTAAGACGTATTGGTCCCAGCCTGGAGTAATTGAAACACTAATTTATTTATTTTTGTAATATTTTCAAAAGATTTTCATTTTTTGAACTATTTGAATTTTTTTGTTTGACTTGTGCCAGTATAGAAATATTGCTAATGTGAGAGTAGGTTTACTGTTTCGTATCGTACTGCGTAATACAACGCTGTTGGTTACAAATGTTAGTTTAGAAATTAAATTAGAAATTATTATTTTTTTCTTTTCTTGTGCATGAACAAAACGAATGAATGGTATGAGACCCCTCCTAATGCATTTGTTTTATGTTTTATTCTATTTTTTTTTTAACTTTTATAACAGGTTTTTAGTTTTGCGGTCAGTTAATGTCTGTACAGAATACATGAAAAAAGTAGTCTTATACATGTGTGAGTTTTTGTTGCTTTTTTGTACTGAACCCGTACTGAAAACGTACCAAACTGTGACCCCCATACCGAGGTGCGTACCAAACCGTGACTTGTGTGTACCATTACACCCCTAATAGTAGTACAATGAGTTGGAAGTTAGGCAGTATAGAACAAAGCTTAGGAAAGTCAAGTATCTTGGAAACATGAAAGATGTAGCTAAATGTTATTATAAAAATACTTAAGAATTGATGTAACAGTGACTCAAAGTCAGTTCACAAAAGCAAACTTAAAGCCAGAATCAAAGCTAAAGAACTGTGTCCTCACCGAGCTGCGCACTGGTTTCCCTGCAGTCATTTGATTTTCTGTACTCCTCCACCAGTCTGTCCTCGATGCTTTGTCTGGACTTGGACATAGAATCTGGATCTGCACAGAGAAGAAAACACTAACTGTTAAAATTCAAATCTCCAAGAAATGTGTGAAACAATAGCAGGATAAGAGTTGGGTTGGGTCTTTAGCTTTTTCTTTTTTTTCTATTGTTTAAATTATATCTATTTGTTGGTGTTTCTGACCTGTTGTAGTTTTTAGTTATTTGGTTTGCGAGGATGAAGCTTAAACAAAGACAAAGCTGATGTTTGTTCCCTGATATTTATCAATTATATTTACTGTGGGGTTTTTTTCACAAAGGTTTAGTTAAAATCAGAACACACCCTGCTCCACATCACTGCTGTAAATGGCCGTTGAGTCTCCGTTGAGGACATCAAGGAAAAAGTCAGCTGGGTTATTGAATGGCTCACAAGTGAATCCTGGGAAGTTGAGTTTGAACATTGTTAGCATGTTAGTGACACTGTTCTAAAATAACGCATGTTAGCAACAACAGGGATTTCCTACCAATATCTGAAAAGTAATCCAGTGCCTTCTGAGCAGGGCCGTGGTAAACCTGTTGGCATGAGTGACATCACAGTGGGGTGAGGTCCAAAATCACAAACACAAAGAAAACATCAACATAAGCACAGAAAACAGAAACACAACAACACTAGGAAATGCAGACTGAACCTGTTTCCCTGTGACCAGCAGGGTGAGGTTGTCAAAAAGACGATAAATGGAGTAGCGAGGCTGGTGAATGGATAAGATGATGGTGCGGCCGGCGTTTGCCATCCTGAACAAATACATTTATGACTGTCATTTTAATTGGAATTGACTGGAATCAAATGTAGTTTTGTACTTTTTGCTTATTGAGTCTGTTAATGAAGGAGTCAAAACCTCATTTCTATTGGTACAGCATTAATCAAACATTCAATGTTATCAAATCCATTGGCTAGCTGCTAACAATGATGCTAAGTTGTATTTACTGGTTGTTTCTGCTGCCCCTTGCTGGACAGATAGTGGTGTGTCACCTCTTCAGTAGCAGCAGCACAGAGTTTGCTGTGCTGGAGTCCAGTCCTGTGGTGGGTTCATCCAGGAAAAGGACGGAAGGGTCCATAATGAGCTCCATGCCAATGTTGGTCCTCTTCCGTTCGCCGCCAGAGATTCCACGGATCAGTTGAGTGCCCACCTGGCCACAAAAAAAAGTTTACCACTTTCTTTCCAACAACATCTTGTTTTTGTCTTGTTTCCGTCTCTTCCTTATCCTCACCTTGGAGTCAGCGACCCGGGTCAGCCCCAGTTGTTCAATTAGTTTGTTCACTTTCTGCTCTTTGTCTTGGGGTGAAATGCTTGTTGGAAGTCGTAACGCAGCAGAAAAAGTGAAATTCTCTCGGACTGTCAACGTTCCCATCACCACATCATCCTGCAGCCCAAAAACAACAAATACAAAACTTCTATGTTAGTTAATGTAATTGTAGTTAATGTGCCTTTTTTCACATGACAAACCTGGACCACGTAGCCTGATAGACACTTGAAGTTTGGAGGCTGAGGAGCCCCGTCGATCAGAACTTCACCAGACAGACCTGCAGGGTCTTTTCTGGCAGCCAGCACATCCAGGAATCTGGTAAAAAAAAAAAGCAGTGGTCGCCTGGAGCAAATTGTCCAAGTGTAAAACGTATAAAGGCCTGTTTACACCTTGGTTAAAATATTTACTAATCAGTCAGTGTTACCATGACATGAGTCTGGAGCGATTCATTTTATCTTTAATAACGATTTTCGATAACTGCTGATTCGACGTCACCTGATGAACAACACTGGTAAATCTGAATTAGTTTAAAAAAACGACACTCACGATGACTTGCCACTTCCTGTTGCTCCCATGATGGCGTTGAGCCCTGGCTTCATGACCCCACTGCAAGAGAAAATGCAGATTGAACATAACTAGCTAAAGGTAAACAGCTAATAATGTGAGTGTCATGATGATTCAGAGTAGCCTAAACAATAAACAAATTAAAATTCAAAATAAAATGAAGACAAACTTTCACCTGAGAAATTGCTGCACAAAATAAAAAAAGAGAATAAACTCTATCTAGAAAATTAGCTTAAAGGTTGGCATGCCATTATCACAGGATTTATAGTGAACAAAATGTCAAGTAATCCTTGGCCCAAAAGTAAATGTAAATGGCCAATCACTTAAAAAAGACACCATGTTGGAGGACATCAAATTTTAACAAAAAGGTAGTTAAAAACTACCCTGAAATTACTATGGTTTCCCAGCCTGTACGTAAATAACGCAAAAACAACAAGGAATTGTTCACCCTTCGACACACTCAACAACAAACAAATGTCTGGTTGTGAGATTCTAGATATTAGACGAGAAATACAGTATCTCAAAGTTAGCTAAGCAAACATTTAGCGCTAAGAAATCATAATACTAATAATCACAACGCATATTTTGAGTCCTAATATGTTAGTGAAAATAAAATAATTTTCAAAATAACCTCCAATTGAAATGTCAAAATGTAAGCTAAATAATTGTTGCAGCAAAATTGTATGTATGACAAAATAACAACAAAAGAGACAAGTTAACTGTTAGTTTTTTTTTTCCTAGCACCAATCTGAAAACATCTGTACGGAGAATGAAGCCGTGCTAGCTAAGCTAACAGCTGCTTGATGACAGGCACAGTGTGTGGGTGAAGAATGACTCAGCAGTTTGACTTCTGTTAACTTTTACAACTGTGAATTATTTCTGCTTGCAGAGGGAAACTGTGAGGTCATGACTCAGCAAATGTCACCACAAATATGACGCTGTGTTTTTTCAGCTCAGTCATCATCAGCCATGTGACTTCTGATTGTGTTTTACTGAAGCACACTACATTTAAAGTCAAACAGGAAATAGATCAAGTCCTGACTGCCAATTCATTAAAGCTTGATTTGGCTAATTTACCTTATTTTATTGTTGTTAAATAAAATATAAACTAATGTTCACTAACATCTCTGTACTTTAATTAATTCCGCTGTATTTACCAATCTTTTTGCTTTGGTGGCGTTTACTTTTTCTGCTAAATTAGTCTCAGGTTATTTGTAGGTTATCTTTCGGCTAATTCAGCTAAATGCAAGTTAAATGTCCATTTCTTAGTCTGTTGTTATATTTGATGCATTACTTCTCAGTTTTTTTGACTACCTTCATGCTATTTTGGTAAAGATAAATATTTCTGGGTGAAAACGGTTGAAATCATGTAAATTTTTATGGCTCTGTGTAAATCATTGACACCAGTCGACACTGAACTGTGTGTGTGTTCAGAACAGTTTGTTTCTCCTGATAACACAGGCGTCTTACGAGGCGTGAGGGGGTTGCGGCTGTGTTAACAGCAGGGGGCGGGGCAGTCAGGATGCCTCATGATCTTACTCATCCTGGTTTTGTCTTTGGTGGCTCACAATAATGACTTCAAACCGTTTCCTCCCCGTTCCATAACAATCAAACCTTTTGGTTCTTTAAAGTCTGATCCAGAAATTGTAACAATGGTTGATTCGTTTGGAACTCCAGGAAACTTGCACACAAGTTCACTTTGGGGTTTTCAAAGGCTAATTTCTTGTTATCCAGGTGGTTTATCAGAAGTGGAGGAAGCCACATTTGTCTTTGTTTGTACTGATCCTTCAACCGGTTTGTGAATGCAGACCCAAAACACTCTTCCTGTGGGATTCAAGAGTTAGGTACTCTCTGTACACAACACTCCATGTCAGTGAATTGCCAACTGTGGGAGTTTTTTTGTGTGATAACACACACACACACACACACACACACATATATATATATATATATATATATAGGGGATGTCTGATAATATTGGTCGACAGATATTATCGGCCTGATATTAGCTGATAATTATGTATTATCTGTACGAATTTTTTCAATAATATAAACCTAAATACACAATGTCTGGGTTTTGCCAAATATTATATACAGTATATATATATGTGTGTGTGTGTATATATATATATATATATATGCCAAACTCGGCTTCAACTTCTCAGACCTTATTGATATTTATTGTATTAGAATATTAAAGGTGTAAAGTAGTTCTAGATAGTTAAAGTGATTACAGGGGATTTTCCAACGAACGTGACACTGGTTTAACGATAATAACTCAATCTGAAATCGAGTAAGTGAGCACACAATGATGGGTTCAAAGATGGTAATACTCTTCCTGAAGATTTATAAAACACCACTTATGTATCGTTTGCTGTGGTGTGTTTTTCTTCTCTCTCACGTGTCTGAATGAACATGAAAACAATCCAGAATGTTCCTTTAGTACTGTCAGCCTTCAACTTTCACTCAGACTCTGGTCAATGATTCGTGAGCAGTAAAAGAGCACAGATACTGCGCACACACACACACACACTTCACACAGCACATACACTAGTTCAGGTTTTCCCTTCACTTTAAACTTTTTACACAATTTGTCCAACTGCAGTTTTCATGACACAATCCACCTCCTTAACAGAGGAAGTGGTGTGGTCATGTGACCTCAATGGATTGTGTAATTCACACACGTGTTTTTTTTTTTTTCAAGAATCTTTTAGAGACATCAAACTGCAGTTAGCAGTACACTACTTTTTATGCTACTCATAGCATTTTTCTTCTACTATCAACCCAAATTCGGGGCCAGACGTACAGCAGCTGTTCCTGGGCCGGATCGTTGTTAGGAGGTGGAGGAAGGAAGTTTGACTTTGTCAAGACTAGGTTTGTTTCAGTTTTACTAACAGAACAATGAGCCTGGGCTCAAAGCAGCAAACCTCTCACGGGAAGTTAGAGGTTAGCTCACTCAGAGGCCTTCTGCTGTTTTATCTCAAGGCAACACAACCCGAACAGTCTGAGCCACTAGCCATGATAATACGCTAACAGAATGGCTCTGTAACAAACATGCTAATGCTAAAGGAGCTCATATCGCCACCATTACATAAAATCCCTCAGTGTGAAATTTAGTAAAAACATAGAAACAGGTAATACAGACCAGAATGGATAAAAGATAAATAGATAGAACTCCCTTTGGAAAATTACAAATAATAATGTCTAAACAAAAAAGAACAAATTTGAAAATATATCACTGAAACAGCTATAAAGGAGCCTCAATAAAGACAGATTTAAATATGAAAATATTCTGACATGTAAACGTGAGATGCTCCAGTTCACACACTTACTTGAGGTCATTGAGAATGTCTTTGGTTGTAGTTTTCCTGCGGCACAAATAGCTTCCTCCCTGTGCCACTTTGTAGCAGATGTTGTGGAAACTGACGGTGGCACCGTGCTGCATTTTACCTCCAGACTAAACAACAAAAACCCATTTTAATCCACAGAGCAGACTTCTTCTTTCATGTCAAGCTGAAGAAACATATGGAGTGGAAGCTGGGCTGTAGTGTTAGCGCCCCCTTACTGTTCTTGTTTACCTTGTTTAACTGTTTAACTTTGCTACCTTTTATAGTTTTGTTTGGTGTTAAGTTGTTTCTGGCGTAATTATTTTGGTCAAATGTTACCTTTTAAATATTTGAGATTGTTGTCAAATGTTTACTTGTTTCTTGTCCAACTTTTTAGATTAAAAGTGCACTTTAGATACAATTCTAGGAGTTTATTAAGAAAATTAGTTTACAAGCAACTGAACTAATGACGAGTGACTTCACCTTGTTCTTGAAGGCTCCATTCTGCCCTGACTCCATCTGTAACTGGACATCAGGCATCCTTGTGGTCTGGAGATGAACGACTGCACAAATAGTGTTTTTTTTAACTAAACATGTATTGATATTTTTATACATACATTAGTTCAATTTGAGTTCAGAATACTGCTGATGATAAGGAGGTATTAAAAAGGAAATGTTTATTATGTACCTCAAACTCTGACTCTGGGGTTAGTCATTTCTGGTTACCATCGGTTCAATTTGAAATATTTTGGATGAATCGTGCCATTTGTCGTACATTTTTGTAAATGTCTCTCTTATTACAGCTCTACCTTTGTAATGAATTGCCATTAATGCCTTAAGTATCACAAGAAAAATTATTACTTTTGATATTATTTGAGCTGCACATGTAAATCTGTTCTGTGTTATCGTGACTTAAAAACAAATCTGTCCACTCCCCGGTCGACATACAAATTTGTCTTGTCCACTTTTTTATCTTTGACAAACACACACACAAAAAAAGAAAAATAGAGGAGATAAAAAGGTTCCACACCAACCTGCAGCGGACGTAGAGCTACTGCGGGAACCGCGGCTGCTGCTGCTGCTGCTGCTGCTGGATGAGCGAGCTTCAAGAGAACTGGCCAACAGAGAGGAAATCAGAGAGAGAGAGAGCGGGGGGGGGGGGAGGCAGGAGGTGATATAAGGGGAGTTTGATAGCTGATAAGAGTAGTAGGCAGGAGGTGAACCACAGTCATTATCCCACAGAGGTAAATGTGGCCTTAAACACCCGCCCCGGTAAAGTCATTACCAGGTGAACTTTGATACAAACTCATATATTCGTGTTACAAAGAAATTATCTTACAGGTTAAACGCTAGAGGGCAGCATGGAGCATTTCTACATTAACGAAATTTGGCTGTTGTTGCAGTGCAGGATAGTATAACGAGGTGATGCAAATGTCGTTAAGAGACCAAATAGAATTGACCTCAAAACCAGACAGTAGGTGGCGCACAACAACATTAACGTTCAAGCAATGTCAAAAACGAAATGTATATTATTGGAAACTTTTTCTTTGATCCAGTTCAACCACCATGTGGCGCTACAGCTATTTAACTGTACTAATCTGCCTGTGGTGGTTTAGTAGATTAGACAAACTAGATCAAATTTATTTATAAAAACATCTTTTAGCACAAAGATCTAAAAACACCAATTAATACGTTTGTGAGGTTTGAGTTAAGAATGGCCAACTTCCTATGATGACATTATTTAGTACTCTTAAGTGCAACAGTTTCCCAGGTGTATCAAGCCTTTCTTTGTAGAATTTGTAGTAAAACCACACAGCCTTTTTACTTTTTTGTAACTCCTTTAATGTGTTGTTGTTGAGAGTGTGAAAAACGTTACCCCCATCTAGTGGTGATAAGTGGAAAAGCATGTTCAATAGCACAAAATCAACTGATTACTAATACTATTGGCAAACATAGAAAATCAATTATTTCTACATTGGCTAAGATCATTAATGAGCCAGGATCTAGGATGTGCTGATCCAGTAAATACTGAATTGATTTCTCCATTGTCTCACATGCATCTTTACAGCAATCAACACACAACTTAACAGCAGGTGATACACACTTATTGCATGACACAAGATGTTAACAGTGAGGAGCTAATGTGTGGCTAAAACTGCACCATTGCCTATATTAAAAACAGTCTATGAAAATGTGTCATTGAAGACCACCAGAATGCTAATTACATGCTAATAGGTAATACTCTAAAAGTCATGATCAAAATACCATCAAATGTTAAAGTTTTGTTCCAGCTCTAGAGAGTAGAGTAGAGTAGAGTAGGGCTTTTTTCATCCCCCTTGGGGGAAACATACTAGTACATTAGCCAGTGGCAGTGCAGAAAAAGAGAGAAGAGGAGTTAACACAATAAATAGAGTAAAAAGAACTAAAAAGCAGAAAGCACTCTAAAATTAAAGTAAACCTTTAGAAAAATATACATAATAAACAAGAAAATATCCATATTGAAAACAATAAAGTGGCAGTGAAGGGTGCAGGTAATCAGTGCAAAGAGTTAAACAGTCTTATGGCTGATGGGAGGAAGGACCTGCGGTAGAGCTCCTTCCTGCATTGTGGATGCCGGAGCCTGCCGCTGAAGGAGCTACGCAGGTCCTCCACAGTCTGGTGCAGCGGGTGGGTGGGATTGTTTGTGATGGAGGACAGTTTTGTAAGTGTCCTGCTCCTTGCGACCTCCTCCACCGAGTCCAACGGGCAGCCCAGGACAGAGCTAGCCCTCTTGACCAGCTTGTTCAGTTTTTTTCTGTCCCGGTCAGTGCTGCCTGTTCCCCAGCAGACGACGGCAAAGAGGATGGCAGAGGCCACCACAGAGTCATAAATAGTCCGGAGGAGGGGTCTGGACACTCCGAAGGACCCCAGTCTCCTCAGGAGGTGGAGGCGACTTTGGCTCTTCCTGTAGAGGGCGTTGGTGTGTGTGGACCAGTCCAGTTTATTGTTGAGGTGCACACCCAGGTACTTAAAGCTGTCCACCAGCTCAATGTCCAAGCCCTGGATGCACACCGGTGACGGTTGTGGAGACTTTTTCCTGAAGTCGATCACCATTTCCCACGTCTTACTGGTGTTTAGGCACAAGGAGTTGCCCTCACACCAGTCCACGAAGTCCCTGATGACCGACCTGTACTCCAGTTCATTCCCGTCAGACACGCAGCCAACAATGACTGAGTCGTCGGAGAATTTCTGGAGGTGACAGCTGCTGGAGTTGTGGGTAAAGTCCGAGGTGTAGAGGGAGAACAGGAACGGTGAGAGCACTGTTCCCTGGGGAACCCCAGTGCTGCAGATGGACATCTGTGATGTACAGTTCCGAAGCCTCACAAACTGTGGTCTGTTTGTGAGGTAGTCGGTGGTGCACGCGGCGAGCTGCTCCCCTGCTCCTGCATCCACCAGTTTCCTGCGCAGCACCGCCGGTTGGATGGTGTTGAAAGCACTGGAGAAGTCAAAGAACATGACTCTCACAGTGCTCCCGGCGGTCTCCAGGTGAGTCAGCGCCCGGTGCAGAAGGTAGATGACGGCGTCATCCACCCCAACGTTCTGCCTGTAGGCAAACTGCAGCGGGTCCATCGCCGAGCTCACCTCTGTGCGCAGGTGACTGAGGATCAGCCTCTCCATGGTCTTCATCAGGTGGGAGGTCAAGGCGACGGGTCTGTAGTGGTTCAGCTCCCTGGCGTGCGATGTCTTCGGGACCTGAACCACACAGGAGGTCTTCCACAGGGACGGAACCTTCTCCAGACTGAGGCTCAGGTTGAAGATGTACGTGACCACCCCACAGAGTTGGTCAGCACAGTTCCTGAGCAGTCTAGGGCTGATTCCATCTGGTCCTGCAGCTTTCCTGTTCTTTAGTCGCCTTAATTCTCTCCTCACCTGCTCAGATGTCAGGGAGAGAGGGGAGTGAGGGGAGGTTGACAGCTGGGGTTTGGGGGGCAGGGGTGTAGGTGAGAGGTGTTGTGGATGGTGGTTTAGATGGGGGATGGTAGCTGTGGTCGCTGGTGAGGAGAAGTGTGAAGAGGTGGAAGCAGTGGTGGAGGAGGGGGGTGGGGGCCTTTGATCGAATCTGTTGAAGAACTCATTCAGTTCATCGGCCCATCTCTGGTCACCCCCTGGTGTGTCGCTGGCTCCACTCAGTCCATGACCCGTGATGTTCTTCAGGCCCCTCCAAACATCACGCGTCTTGTTCTGCCCCAGCTGCTCCTCAAGCTTCTCCTTGTAGGTGTTCTTGGCCTTCCTGATCTGCTGCTTGAGCTCCCGCTGTATTATTTTAAGCTCATCCCTGTTCCCTGAACATGCGTCCCCATGCGTCTTTTGCATGTGCATACAAAAGGTCCAGCGTCTTGTTCTCCCGGGTGTGGCACTTACCGTACTGTGTGAACGTGGGGAGGGTGGAGGACAGCGAGGCATGGTTGAAGTCCCCACTGATGAGCAGGAGGGACTGCGGGTGCAGTGTCTGCAGTCTGGACACCGAGTTGTGGAGCAGCTCGCACCCAGCCGCTGCGTCGGCTGACGGAGGGATGTAGACTGTAAACACAATCACGTGCGAGAACTCCCTCGGGATGTAGTAGGGGCGGATGCCCACCGCAACAAGCTCAATGTCTTTTGTACAGAGTTGTTCTTTGATGGAGACGTGCGCGGGGTCGCACCATCTCTCATTCACGTACACCATTAGTCCACCGCCTCTCTTCTTCCCGGCCACATTTCTGTCCGCTCGAACCATTTCAAAACCGTCCATAGAAACGATCGAGTCCGGCGTCATCTCCGTCAACCAGGTCTCCGTGAAGCACAGCAGGCTGCACTCCCGAAACTCCCTCTCATGCCGAATCAGCGCCGCGAGCTCATCCGTCTTGTTTTGAATGGAACGGACGTTTCCCATAATAACAGACGGAATGAATGGTCTGTACCTCCGTTTCCTCTCCTGAACATTCCGTCCGGCTCTGCACCCCCGTCTCTTCCTTCTTATTTCCACCGGAATCTCCGCTTTACCGGCGAAAGGAAGAGTGGTGTTGCGCAACGCCATCAGCTGGTCCCTGGTGTAAACAATGGACCCACTGAGCGTTTCAGCCGACGATGTTCCAAAAAGTGCAGAAAAAAGAAGGAAACAGACCACCAAAGTGATAAAAGTGGTCCTGTTCTGACGGTGACGGTCACATGATTTGACCACAAAAAAAGAAATAGTACAAAACTAAAAAGAAAGAAGGAAAAAAAGTAAGAAAAAGTACTAAGAGGAGGAGAGCTACTGTACACAGCTGCTGCTCGTGCAGCGCCATCTTGGATGTCATGAGTTCAAATATGGTGTTCAATGTAGTTCAAAACTTTAACATTTGGTAGCTGACAACACCTGATAAACCAATGACTTTCCTTCTAATCACATGATCTTCACTCACTCACTCACCACATCATCTGTTAGCTGCAACTTCACCGGCATTTACAAAAACAGCCACTCAGGGGGGAGGGGGTTGTTAACCTACAGATCTGCTGTCGAAGTCAGCTGATCTCCTGCTGCTCCACAGGAAGGATCATCAGAGGGAGGTGGAGGCACCTGTGACGGCAGGTGTTAGCAGTCTGACTGTCTCCTCAGCTTCAGGTGGGATTTGACTCCATTTTCTCACACATTTGCTTTACTTTTGGATATTTGTGGAAAAAGCCACCAGGAATGTAAATCTAGTGTTCATTTAAAGTTAATATTAGCATTGTTAGCCAAATTATAACCAATGCAGCAAAAGCTAGCTAGACGATGACACAAATCAATTAAAAAAAAAAAACAGTACCAATGAAGCTAACGGCTAACCACTTGGTGTGGCAAAGTGATAGCTCATTAATACAGACTGTGGCCTACAGTAGATGCTAAATATTAGCCCAAAAGATAACAAGCCCAACCTCAAAAGCAAGTTTAGAGTGAAACTAAAATGAAGCATGATCTTAACTTTTATGCTGTTACAGTGTAATGGTGTCTTTTCAAGTTAAAGAATAAAAATTAAAAAATTTAGCACAGATATAGCTTGACAGAGGCGAAAAGCTTAAAGAAAAAAAAGCTTTAAAAGGTTTATAGGTATGTTAGTAGAAGTCCAGTAATCGAAGACTGATTTTAGCAAAAGATTATACTTAAATAACCAAAAGACAACTGGTGTTGGCTACATTGTACTGACAGTACAGTATCTGAAACAGGACACAAAAACTTGGTTTTACTATAAACAAAAACTTTATTTACACTGATTTTAAGCTAACAGAGAGGTGGAATTGGGGTGGAGCTTAGTTGATGTTGTCTACGCCCACCTCCCGCTGGAGACTAAATTCCTGCTTACACTATAGACGTCGACAGAACTTGTCTGTTTCCCCCACGCTCCCAGAGGAACCACGATGATGCTGGCGTTGTCTTCTGAGCCGTACTGTAGGGCCTGTAACAAAACAACAAGAAAAACCTTTTCATTTAACACACAGAGGCTTGAACTAGGAACAAAGGTAGAACCAGGAGTCATGAACTTTCTATGTAACTATCACTCTAAACCAGTGACAGAACTTGATCTAAGTACAATGTACTAGGGACTACAAAACTAAGACTTAAGTTCCTCCAACCAGAATCTTGATTTAAATGCTCAGTTTTGGGTTCTTTTAAACAGTTCCTGCACCCACCTGCTGAGTGATGACATCTGCTGCCTCACTGGCATCATGGCACTGGTTGATGACATCACACACCTCCTGGTCACTCAACATGAAGTTAATGCCATCAGTGGTCAGAGCCAAGAAGGAGTCATTGGTCTGCTGGATCTGCATCAACGCAGAGCACAGGTCCAAAAGACTCCATTATCTCTTTGTTGAAGTCACTCAACTTTGGTTTTGGGTCTTCCAAGGTTTTTATTTTGAGATTTATGCTAGATTTTTATTTTACTGATTTAACTGGGGGGGGGAAAGAGAAACGTATCTCGTGCTCACGAGAAAGATATTTTTCCACACATACATACACGGTAATACATTAAAATAACAATCATTTACAGTACGTACGGTGGGGAAATCTAAGATACCGGCATGTTATGCGTGACATATGCACTGTATATATGGTGAGCATTTAATTAATGTAGGATACCTCAGTTAGACACAGGAGGGCACTGTTGTTGTGCCCTCCTATCGCAACAACTGCAATAGGAGAGGGACCAGTGTATATGATTTAATTACGTGATGTCTGTAAAGCACACTGAGTTTACTTTGTGCATGAAATGTGCTCTATAAATAAAAATGAAATGATGAAAGTCCACCTGCGAGCCAAGAACACGGCTCGTTTACAGGATTCAGTTGAATTGTACAATAGCTTGGCTTGAGTCATGGTGAGATTTTACAAATATTGGGCTCAGTGGATGCGACTGTTATTAGTATGCGTACTCTGAGATGGATGAGGATGATTTCCGTACATACGTATTTACCCTTCACGAACCTCCCTACACTGTTATCAACAGTAGAACAACAACAACAGTGCCCTCCTGTGTCTAACTGAGGTATCTTACATTAATTAAATGCTCACCATATATACAGTACACATGTCACACATGACATGCCGGTATCTTAGATTTCCCAACCGTACGTACTGTACATGATTGTTTGTTATTTTAATGTATTACCCTGTATGTATGTGTGGCAAAATGTCATAGATATACTTTCTCACGAGATACGTTTCTCTTTTTTTCCCCCCATGTCCCTTTAGGGGCTCCGTAGTTTTCAACATTTGTGGCTAGTATTTAGCTGTTCATGAGTTGTTATTTATTTTAACTGTGCATTTTGGCTTAATTCATTTTAATTGATTTTTCTTCTGCAATATTTTAAGCCAAAGTTAACATTATTAGATTGAGTTTGACTCACGAGGACTCGCTGTGTGTCAGGCTCTGCAATGACACCGCTGTTTTTCAGGTGAAAGTCCCCGATGCTGCGAGTCATGGCCAGGCGCCCGTTGACGTTGGCCTGACCAACGCTGTTCCACGTTACAAAACCTCCAGCGCTGTAGATCCTGGAGACACGCACAGTGGATTAAGTTCCCAAGGTGTGTTCCTGTGTAGGCCAGCCTAGAACATGATCTCCAGGTTTGGGAAATAGTTCGTCACCATTTAGAGATGAAGGTTTCTCATAAAATACTGCCAGTTTTCCATGGACTAAAACAGCTTCACATTTGTATCCTCAAACCTTTGGATTTGACTTTGTCTGAACCTGACAGTCCTTCACTTCACACCCGTCTCTCTCCAGTTTTCTACAGTGGGGATTTCTGTTAAACTTGTGATGAAATGTTTTCAGAGGTCATTAGCTGTGGAAATGTTATCTGAAGAACACACACATACACCCATATAGTCACAAGCTGATCTTGGTCAAGTGTGTGTGTCTCTGTGTGTGTTAAATTTAGTCTTGACCTGATGTTATGCAACACACACATTTTCAGAGAGCCTTGGCTGCTGCCTGCTGTCTGTAATTACACCACTACCATGATGTGATGACAGTGGAGTGCTGTCATGATAGACAGTGTGTGTGTGTGTGTGTGTGTGTGTGTGTGTGTTCACCGGTGTCTCTCGTCTTTCTGCTCCGGTGTATGGTCAGTAGTGAGTTTCTTGGCTCCTCCCTTCCTGCACAGCACGGCCCGGCTGTCCCCCACACTCCCAACCACTAACTCCACCCCATCACGCAGCACAGCGACTGTGGCTGTGGTTCCAGCAGAGAGGACGGAAGCTGGAGAGGGAAGAGGTGTGTGTGTGTGTGTGAGCATGTTATACAGTAAAGCTCACTTTTGCTCTTGACGTTCTGAGTACAAATGTGAGTGGGTGTGTGTCTGTGTTTCTCTCACCTGTGTTGAAGTAACTCAGGTGAGTGTGAAGGCCTTTGTCGACATCCACAAAGGCTTTCTTCAACACCTTCTCCAGATTGTCTTCTTTCTCCAAAGCATCTCTATGGATAGATGGATGGATGGATGGATGGATGGATAGATGGATGGATGGATGGATGGATAGTCTAGGACTTGTCAGTAACTGGTCAATAATCATTATAATAGCTATAACCAATAAGTGGCACACTATTAATTCATCAATGATTCACCAAGACTTCCTTCTCCAACTGATTCTAACTCACCCATAACTTTAACAATAGAACCTTGACGACTTGTCAATAGTTCCAGTACCACAGAGTTTGATGAGATCAAGATGTTAAGAACAACCAACCTGATGAACTTCTCCATGAAGGTGTAGCAGAAGTCTGCAGCATGTGGACCGCCGTGACCGTCAAAGACAGCAAAGTACAACAGGTTGTCCTGGAGCCGGGCGACACGAAGACGGTCCTCGTTCTGTTTCCTGAGACCCAGAACTGAGGAGCAGCCCACCAGGGACAGATTCACCTGTGACTGAAGAGGCAGAGGGGCGGACCTTAGCCGACACTTCCTTCACATGTATGTGCTGATATGTGCAGTTTGACACTAACCTGTGGGATTGGAGTTCCATTTATGACACTAGAGGGCAGCACAATTGGGTCTTCTATCCTGTTGTCCCAGATACCCAAAGATTCCCAGGATACCAAGCGATCTCTGATGATGAAGTCCAGACTGACTGACCCGCTTGCCTGCCTCACACCCCCCAACCTCGCCGCCCTCACCTGCAGAGAAAAACATCAAGTTGACAGGTAAAATAAATGTTGGTGCTGCAAACCTGTAAAAATGAGCAATACAAAAACAGGAGGTACCTGCCCCGATGCTGCGGCAGGTTCTGGTAACCACCCCGCATTAAGGACTGTGTGAGAGGTGACGGCAGAGCAACTGCGACGCAACACATTCAGCAGCGTAGTTGATGACAACATTGCTGACGGTCTCTAATGGCTGTAGAGGCACATTTCATGTATTTACAACTCAATAATAGTCACAATTGGAAACAACAGTCATAATGTTGCTGTCAGAAACAACATTCAACATCACTGAACAACAGTCGCTGCAGTTTACGATCTGAAGTTTTCATCATCATAATCATAAGTCACTGTCATTAACAACAGTCACTGTATTTAACAACAGCCATTGGTTGCAAAGACACTAAACCACCAACATAAACTACAGTCGGTGTTGTTGATGTAAACTTTAACAACAACAAGAGATTTCAAACCTGTTTGGTAAAAACTCACTGTATTTGAGGTTATTTTTGCAGCAGGTGTCCAGAGCTGCAGCAGTCGTGTCGCCCCAACAGTCGCCCCAACAGTCGCCCCAACAGTCCCCCCAACCACGGGTGCTTTTGTAACATAACATCAGTAGAGTGGGCCAAGGGGCAGGTGGGGTTGTGACTGTTTTTGGAAACATGCTCCGCTCTTTTTATTTCTACTCCTCTCTCCAAACTAACTCTATAAATAGCTTAAAGGTAGCAGCACAAAGCTAAAAGATAGCCAAAATGTTGGCAACAAGCTAACTATGATTTAAGCTTGACCTATACTGGGACAGTGGTGGGTTAGTGGTTCAGTAAGTGGACTTGGGTCCTGAAGGTTCCGGGTTCTAGTCCCCCAGCTGCCAAGTTCCCACTGAGGTGCTCTGTCATGGCTCCGTCTCCACTCACTGCTCCTGGTTCTTAAAGCTGCCACTGTTCACTTTGGTGATGGGTTAAAAACAGAGGTCACATTTGGTTGTGTGCAGTGGTGAGTTGTGTCACACTGACAAGGAGTTGACTTTCCTACTTTTTTTTCCTAGTGTTTGTTGTAACGTTCCTCAGCTTTGAGTAAACGGAGCTCAAAGTTAGCGAAGGAACCAGCCTTGAGTAAGTGTTCTAATGTAATCACTAACCATTTCAGGTTCCAAAAATGTCATTGCTTTGGGCCATTGGCTACTACCTGCATATTCTTTACCTTTTTTATGGTATATGTAGCTATTATTGCATACTTTCATTAAAATCTTCAGTTTTTTTCTTTGGCTCTTAAAAATATTTGAAAACTACAAAGCCTATATTCTTCTTTTGGCTGATCTTCCATATTTTGTGCATGAACTGTCATCTATTACTGACAACTTTAAGACAATTTAATAATTGTCCATTATCATTATTCTGACCTCAGGAAGATCAGGAACCTTTGCATTATCTACCTAACGACAGCACCGTGGTTACTATAGGTGACTGTCACTGCCACCTGAGAGAGGGTGTGTGTGTGTGTGTGTGTTTTCATGATGTGTAGAATCTTTACCACTTTCACACAATTTTCAAATTCATATTTAAATTCAGTTTGACTTTGCCATGTCAAAATACATCAAATAAATGAAAGCAATGACCTGAGATTGTTAAATAATAATGATCTGTCATCACTGTCATCATGTGATTCAGACTTACATTCTCAAGTTTATTCACAGCTGCTTGTATTACTATTTCTGACCTTTATTCTCTGATTATTTTTTTACACACACACACACACACACTCTCTCTCTCGCACATACACACATTCGTTCATCATCTACAGCTGGTTTTATAAACAGTCAATTCTGAGAAGTACAAAGTCAGGATTTCAACCTTTTCATAATTGTCGTTATAATCATAATATTAATTTCAAAGCCTGTTGGCAAGCGATTATTTGTTTTTGTTTGGTTTTTTTTTTGTCATCACTTCTCCAGAGACGCTACACATGTCGTAACATCAGTGACAGCTAGGACACGCCGACTCTTAGCACCAGGTCGCAGCCAATAGGCTGCAGCGAAGGCGAGGCCGCCTGACAAAAACAGATGACAGGCTGTGGACCTTTGGTACTTAGACCAGACTCCACGTCCTCATCCCTGTTTTGGCCCATGGATGCGGTGGAGACCAAGAGGAGCTGCCTGTACTGCTGAGTCCTGCCAGTGGGGGAGCATTTACTGCAGCCACATAACAGCTACTACGCAGAAGACTGGGGTGAAGCCAGGATCTCTGCAGGATGTGGGAGGAGAACTTTGATACAGAGCAGTAAGTCACCTCTCCTTATAAGCCTGACTTCACAGTAGCTGTCACAGTTAGTGCTGGCTGAGCTGAGAGTGCCCCCTGTGCTAGCTAGAACAAGCCTGAGAGATGGAGCTGGACACAAATATTTTCCCACTTTATAATGTGCTTTTTCTGCAATTCTGAAATCTATAGAGAAAATCCCCGACCTTAGCTCGTAGACCTGAAGTAGTGCTGGTCAATTACTGCCTCCTGTGGTCACATTGTGTGACTGAGGCAAATCTAAACTAGGTTAAGGACTACTGAAGATGACACCTTAGAATTCAGTTGAACTGGCTGATCAATTACTCTATTGGCCTTGATGCAAAAACTCACTCATTTTATAAAAACCTGTAACTTCCTGTGAAAGGGCAGTTGATTCTACCTGTAACACCTAAATATCACCAGCAGGCGGCGGAATCTAAGCCCTTGAAGGTATGTTTATAGAGAAGACACCAATCTTACCCAATATTAACTAGCTTAGCCAGCATTAGCAGTCCCTAGAAAGGATGTCATCAGAGCAAAACACTGTACAAATGGAGGACAGATCTGTGTCCCCAGTGTAGGTAGTATACAGTTTGGTCTCTCTCTCTGTCTACATGTCGTCCAGTGAGGTTGGCCACAAGCTGGACTACTCGCCAGTGTCGTGGCGAGAATATTTTGACCAAATGGAGGATGTGAGCGTGGGTCCATCAGACAGCAGAGACGTCTTCAAGGTCTATAAGGCGGGGAGTGAAGGACCTCTGCTGGTTCTGCTGCACGGAGGCGGGCACTCGGCCCTGTCGTGGGCCGTCTTCACAGTGGGTATCAACGTGTTGCCATCGGACTGTGAAGCAAGTCAAGTCAAATCATGGGCAACGTCCTAGACATGAGCAGCATTGCCTGGTGTTTTTCTGTCTTTCAGACTGCCATTTCCAGCAGAGTGACCTGCAGGGTATTGGCCATGGACCTCAGGGGTCACGGTGAGCACGCGCTTCTCGCCTCTGGACGGGTATCATTAGCATTTATAAGTACAACGGTCTGTACTAAAGAGATGCATGTGGTACTCATTATCCAAAAGTAACACACAGGAAGTAGACTTGAAGTACAGCCAAAAACCAAAGTGTTGATGATTCAGTGAAGATAACAAGTCCCTGGTTTAGAGAGAGAGAGAGAGAGAGAGAGATGGTGTATCATGATCTATCGTGGTCTGTCATAGTCTATTATGGTCTGTCATTGTCAATTATGGTCTACAATGCTGTTATGGTTTTGTTAGCAGGTTAGAGTATGTGGACCTACTGCAGGTCAACACAGGGAGCTTCACTTTTGCTACCTTGGTTGCCTTTTGTCCTTTTTCTTTTAGACTGGCTCATATATTTGCTGAGAAAACACCGACTGTATACTACTTTAGACCTGGAACCTCTCTATCTCCATTAGAACGTACAAACCTCTACTGATTTGTTCTTTGTTAAGGTGCCAGTGAGGTCCGCCAATCAGACGATTTCTCAACTCAAACAATGTCCAGGTAACAACATCTAACCGTCTTCTACCACCACTGTGTGGACTCTTCCAGTTACAGCACTGTTGTAAACTCTGGCCTCGCCCCTTTAGCGATGTAGCTAATGTGATTAAAGCCTGCTACGGCGAGGCACCTCCACCCATTGTTCTGGTTGGTCATGGCGTTGGTGGGGCGATTGCGGTGCATACGGCCAGTAACGCACTGTTACCTACCACGGTGGGTCTGGTGGCCATAGACGTCGTGGAAGGTAAGTCTTCAGGTTTTCTACTTTGTTAGATTTGTTCGTCTGTTTGAGAGCATCCTTTTTAAAATGTTCAACAAATATTGACAAACTTTAAACTATATACCAGTCGTTTTTTGGCAAATGTGCGTCCTCTCTTCTGTAGGCAGTGCGATGGAGGCTCTCCACAGCATCCAGAACTTCCTGAAGGGCAGACCCAAGTCCTTCAAGTCCATGGACCATGCTATAGAGTGGAGGTTAGACCAGGGACTTTATGATGAACTAATGTTTGTCACACCTCCAGAGACAGGTTCTCATACAAAAGCCCATAGAGAAAACTGCTGATTTTGTGACGTCAAACACATGTTGTTGATCCAATTCAATCATCAATAAGTACAAATGTAATATTATGTGACTCTGGGATTCTACATCCCTTATGTCTCTATTTTAGTGGCACCAATTGGCCACATGAGGCAGTAGACCAGCAGCTCTTTAGTGCCTGCTGCTTTAAAACACTGTTTCCTCTATGGACTTTGGTATACGCAGGTTCATGGTTTTACCAACTGTAGTTTATTGTTGGGTACTTTTGTTTTCTACAATTCTTTGCCAGTGAGAGTGCCTCTACCTTTGTGTCCTTGCAGTGTGAAGAGTGGACAAATCAGAAACCTAGAATCTGCCAGAGTCTCTGTGGTTGGTCAAATTATAAGGTAAGCTTGTTTAAATGTCAGTGTGTTTCATGTACAAACCACGAGATCATGTGAAAACTCACCTCCTGTAAGTTGTAAAGAGAGAAAACAAGAACTATCGGCTACCACCAGGAATTGAATCTGTTGACCGTTTTGTTGTAAGGCATGAACAAGGACCAGTATTTTACACCGTGGCCCCCTACCACAGTCCGCCATCAGGTACCACAAAGGACTGGACATGTCAGCAGGTGTTTGTCCTTGGGCTAAGTTGAGCTGATAAGGAGACAGAAGACAGGCAGATGTTGTTCTGTGTTGCCTACGTTGATGCTCCGACGCTCTGTGATCTCTCTGGTACACGTGTAGATGTGAGGTGGAGGAGACAGACACTCTGGAGCAGGCCAGCCCTGTGACGGGTGTGGTGGTGGAGCGGAACGAGGAGTTTTATGATCAAAGCTATGTAAACGACAAAGAAGACGCCGCCTCAGAGGTGAGCCTCAGCCACGGCCAAGGGTGAACGCCACGTCACCTCAGATGTGGACTACTGGAGAAAGAAATGCTAGCCCAACAATAGTATGATGTTTGTGGGTGTGGGTGTGTGTTTCAGAGTGTGTATAAGTGGCGTATCGATTTGTCAAAGTCGGAGAAGTACTGGGACGGCTGGTTTCGAGGAACCTCCAACCTCTTCCTGGCCTGTAACCTGCCTAAACTCCTGCTGCTGGCAGGTGCCCACACTGACGACCCCTGCACCGCCTTTGACCTTTAGTCCTTGTTTTGATTGATTTACCAAATCAAGTGTTTGCTTCTTTGTCTAGGAATCGATCGATTGGACAGAGATCTGACCATCGGACAGATGCAAGGTGAGACTTTATTGCCTGGGACTCAGTTTGTTTCCAAACCAAGTAGGGATGTAACGAGGCATTGTGAATTAAATAAAAATCAATACAAACAGATTAAAAAAATCGAAAGAATCGTGCATCAATACGTAATGAGTAGGCGGCATTATCTCAAAAAGTCAGTGGTCATACCATGAGACTACACTCAGTAGTACAGTAGGTGGCGATGTGCACCTAAAAACTGGTTGTGACCCAATTAAAGGTCAGGTTCCTGCGTAGTGACATTCAGGTGTTCAGACAGAACGTTTGTTTTCTATTCTTTAAAATCAGTCGTTTCAGTTTGAGTCTGTGAGGTACAGTAGACCATTTCAGTTGTCAATGATATTTTGCATTGTTTAGTTTACATCCCTGTAATCAACACGAGCTCATTTATAGCTGATGCTGGATGCACACACACACACACACACACATTAAGACACACATCTTGAGACGGCAGCTCCTCCACAGCTGCTCTTGTCAGTCAACAGCTTCTCTGGATGTGACAGCAGGTGTGTGTCTGTGTCTGTGTCTGTCTGTGTGTGTGCGTGCAATGCATCCCTGCCTCCAGGCTGATTCATGATGCAGGTGCTGTCCCCCTGTGGCCACGCAGTGCAAGAAGACAAACCTGAAAAAGTAAGAAAAGTGTGAGTGAATGAGGAAGAGAGAGAGAAGAAATATTTTTGACAGGTAGTCCGTCAAACATGTTTAATGATTCTTTGGTAGTTCCTCTGTGACAGTTCCTGGTCCCTGATGTAGTAGGTCAGACCAGGGCTGTAAAAGCAGTTTAGTTTTTCATCGAGATCTAGACTTTAAATTGCCAAAAAATCTGTTATTTTACGCTGCCCCCTTCAGTAAGTTCAGTTGTATTGTTCTGTGATCTTGGAATTTAGAATTCCTCGTTCAGATGTACCTGTGTGACACAGATGGACCACAAGGGGCAGCTTTTGTGTGTGTCTCTGGTAAATCATGATTTCTATGTCCATGTCTGTGTGTGTGTGTGTGTGTGTGTGTAGGTGGCTGAAGCTGTGTCTTCTTTCCTCTTGAGACACAAATTTGCTGAAGCCAGGAGAGAAACCAGGAGGTGAGACAGTCTTGACTGGTTGTTGGACATGGATTCAGAACCTGTCCCTGTGTAGAACGGTCAAACTCACAAGAACTTTCTTCTGTCTCCGCAGCTCCAACTCTTTCACACAATGAAGTCTGTTGGTGAGTTCCACTTTTAATTTTTCTGCTCGGGGCAAATTGTTAGCTTTGATGTTGCTAATTGGTTTTTGTTCCAGACTGACTTAAAAAATGTCTCCAACTTGTAGCGTTGCCAAACCTTAGCTGTTTTTCGTTTTTGTTTAGCTAACATTTAAGAATCAGGGTTAGTTTAGTCGTACATTCACTCTAAGCCATAATATAAGGTGAAAGTGTCGACCGTTATGCAGTGCTTTGGTTTTGTTCTAGCTGTCGTAAACCAACTAGAGCTACCTTTGATTCCCTTTTAGCTGTTACTGGATTTACATGCAGTTAGTACTTTTGAAATTTAATTAAAGGTAAAGTTTTAACTTATGTTGCTGTTCAGCTGTTGCTAACGTTGAAGCATTTTTTAAAACCTTATTTAATGTAGTTGTTAGCTAATTTTTACGTTTTGTTTTTTTAATACAATTTCAGGTTCTGTTTATCTCCACATCAACATCATTCTGATCTGCTGAGGTTCTTCATGTGAAGATCACATCCTCTACCTTCTCTAAAACTTTTTTTGTGCACTCTACCAGGAAAATGAATAAATAAATAAATTGAGAGAAAACAACAGAAACAAAATCTCCTTCAGAAAAAGAAATTCAGATCAAGTCTCTAATCTAAACTTTAACAGTGCTGTATTAAAACAGAGAGAAGCCAGGTTTACGGCAAAGCAAAATGTACAATTAAATAAACAAAATAATCTTGACTTCTGCCTCCAAATTATGAGATTTATCTTTATCTCACATTCAATGAAAATGAAAAAATAGTATAAATAAAAAAGAGATAAGGCCATGGGGAAGAAAAAACTCATTGGAAGAAGAAAATCAAACCCTTGTTGAGTCAAAAGTAAACATTTAAACACCATCATCATCAAGAGATCAGAAAAACAGGATTATGGGATTAATAAATAATTCCAACTGATCCAACTGATGATGTCACGTAAAGTGAAACAAATGAGAAAAAAAGTAACAAATATGAGAATTTAGTCAGGTATGAGAGTAAAAGTCAGAAATTACTTTTGTTACCAGTTTGTTTTTTCTGCCTTCGTAAAATGAGACTTTCTAAATGTTCTCAGTGCATTTTACGAGCGAACGAACTACGCTAACTCGACATTAGAAAGGAACAATGAAGTCAAGGTGTAAACAGCCAGTATACACTGTTTCATTATAAAGTGCTAGGTAGCAACTAGCTAGGCTATAGGTTAATTGTATTTGTTGGTTAGCCAGTTTAAATAATCCAAAGTAATTATTTTGAAAGTTGTTTGATAAATTCAAAATTTGAGTTTGATAAAATACAGGGACTTTAGCCTTTTAGCCAATTAGTAGTGGACTTAATGTAAAAATAAATCAGAGGGATAGTGAGAAATGTTTTAATTTCCTCAAAAGCTAACTTAAGCTCTGTTTGCAGACGCTAACTTCTGTTAGCCAACTTACAAAGACTGTTGGCTAGAGTAGCATTTAGCTCGTAATGTAGTTGCAGGTCATTGAAATGGATGGTGGTGCAAATTGTCTGTGAATAGTGTTAGCATTAATAAATGACTTTGTTGAGGACAAAGTTGACTGTGGGCCGTCTATGTGTCTTGTTAACCATTTAGTTTTCACCTTGTTTTTTTTTTTTTTTTGTCCTAATGCATTGTTTCTGTAGCAGCTTTGATATGTTTAAATAGTTAAGTCCACCTTAATACTGGTTAGCCAAGTAAACTGTTAATTTTTATAATTGTATGTAGACACATTTTATTCAGAAATTGCAATTTGATTTGGTGGTTTTATTGTTTATTATTATTTATTATTGCAGTTTCAGGTCACCTCCTGATTGACTTTCATAGACAAAACCAAAAGACAAATGACTGCAGTAAAATTTTATTTAAACTCCTGAATTCGAACACGTGCAACAACTGAAACGACAACAACAACTGAAAACACCATCACGGCACCGTGTATTTACATGTCTGTTTGTGGACTCGGCGTCACACATTAGTAAGAACTAATGCTGCGACGCCACAGAAAACCCAAAGTGTTCAGGTTAACTCAGGAAACTGGATCTAAATGTTTAGTCTAGTTTTGTTTTCCCTTTCTTTTGTTTTTTTTTTTTTCAGCAAAACTACTCCAAATATATTTTCTTCCAACTCAAACAACAGTACAGACAGGAAATGGTCACAGACTAGGGTGAAGGAAATCTAAAATGACCGTTCTCTAAAATCTGTTCACAAAACAAATCTGCGTGTCTGTGTAGAACTCATTCATTTAGGTCAAAGTTTAACTCGTACGACTCAAAAGCAACTGGACCAGAGATTAAATACAGTAAAAGAGTTACTGTGAAAACTAGGGCTGTCGAAATGACCACAATAATTTGTGAGGTTTAATCAGATTAAAGTGTATTTAGCCACCAGTTTCTACTCTGCGATTAATCAGATTCAAACTATTGTGACAGTTTGAAAGCCCCAGTTAAAACCCAAGGTTTGAACCTCGTTTTAAAGTTGTGTTGTCTTCTGATCATTGTGTATGAACCAGCTGCAGACTCAGAGTCGTTATGAAGAGGTGGAGTCACTGTCTTTGGAATAAACAGAAGGACAGCGTGGTAAATGGCAAACATGTGGTGCTGCAGAGTTCGTCCTCTGTTGGGACACTCCACCACTTACCGCCCAAAGTCTTCTAAGTCAGAACTTGGGTTGTTATATACTCTCAAGATTTGACGTAACTCTCCAGAAGACAAGAAAACAGCAGATACGTGAAAGAAAGAGAAATTACCAATGGAAAAAAAGGACAGGGAAATGGATTTACGCATGGAACCTTTCAGGGAAACCAGGCTAAAGTGCATCAACCAATCAAAACACAGCACTAAGAGACCGAGCCAATAAGGGGCTTGGGGATGTGGCAGTGTAGGATCAGACGTCATAGCTGGCCGCGACACGAGAGTCATTTGAAGCTGGACACAAGCACCACATCTGCCAGAAACCAAGGTTCACGCTAACTCCAACTCACCTCAATGAATGAGCTGTTGGTCAACTGCTGCCTCGTGTGGCCAGTTTGTTAATGGGTTCCAAGCTTAGAAAATCCAAATTGGGCAGTTCAGTGGTGACCCAACAGCTCCTCCACTGGTGGAATGGAAATGATCATTTCACAATTTTGATCGGGAAAAGGAAGGGATTCACAGAAGGATTCACTCTCAGTCAAACTATTGACTCCCAGAATGCCACAGCAGCTCAGTCTTTACCCATGTGAACGTTTTCAGTCAAGTAACGGCAGACAATAAAGAAATACAACAAAGTCACTTCAAAGTTAACAACATTCACTGTGGGTTGGCCCAGTCCAGACCCTGGTACAAACGTTCAACAGAAAACCAGCGTCGACTGGACCTCTGTTTGTTGGTACCTGGTAAGAACTGTAAAAAAAAAAAAAAAAACTGGGAGGGGGGGGGGGGGGACTTTTAAACCAAAGGTTCAAACCCAGTTGGTGGGCCTTAGTTTGTCTGATCCAGACCTGGTATCACTGTTAGGTGTTTTTGACAAATCAATCAATTCATTATCCTTAATTAAAATAATAACTTCATGATGAGAAAGAAGAGGTTTAGGGATCTCAGTCTGGGAAACCTGGGAGACCCCTGGTCCTGACTGAAAACGGTTTAGATTTGTTTGGGAACGGAATAAATTGATGGTTGGAGGATTTAGCTGCCTAATGTTGGAGCGTGTGGTCACTACTTCAGACTGAGGTGTGTTCAAACTGAGGTTTAACGCTGGGAACCTAAATGTCGACTACTTTGCTCAAAAAAACATGAAGGATTGTGAAAAGAAATGTCAGCACTTGGTGTGATGTTGTAAAAGACAGTCAGGCCTTACTCCAGACCTCAGATCACTATGACAGAAGCGGGAAAAATATAGAGGAGATGAGGAGAAACACAAAAACACTGGTCTGGTCTTTCAAACAGCAGGAGTACAAACGATCAAAGAGAAAAAGGGCGACACTTTAACTCCGTTTCCTGCAACCACGATGTGGAACTGTATTTACAAAATAAACAACACTTTATTCTCAATCACATTGAGACTTGTCGTCATGCTGCGGGAAACCAAGGGACTACTGGGAAATCAGTCTCTGCTTTTGCAACTTTGTTACAAAAATAAACATCTCCTCTGGTATTAAAATAGACAACAATCTTCATCTCTCTCGGATTTAGGAAGCTCACCGTGCTGACGTGGCTCAACGTAGTACGCCGGGGGTCTGCTGCAGTCTGTACGTGACCGACAACTCTGGTGGACTTATGCCATGTTTCCTTTAGTAAAAAACTTGGACTTACTCAGAGAGAATCAAGGAGGGCATTTTTGAAAAGAGCATTTCCTTCATAGGAACAACATGGACCTGAAGTACCACAAAGTACAGGTGTATCAATCACATAGACCAGTGACTAGATGGAAGTACCAGTTTGTTCTTCAGGCACCAGCACTCTTCCAGTCCCTGATGGTCAAAGTCGAATGTGACATTGTAACAACTAGGTCAGGCTGCTTCAGTTCTGGTGAAGACTAATCTAAGGACTGCAGACTTTTGATTGTTGGTAGCACCAAACAGCAAATACCCATGAAATATCTACAACTGCCAATATAATGACAGTACTGTATGGAGGAGACACCTGGGAACGAGGAAAAACAACCACCAGCTCATCATCCACAGCACTGCGTCCAACATGGACCAAATCAACCCAAAGGTTTAGCAACTTGTTGGTTTGCTCATAAACTTGAAGCAATTGAAGCATCTTGTGTGATCCTACAAAAACAAATTGAAGTCCCCAGACCAAACACCCAGGACTGACCGATGACTGACTTGACCTTGATGTTTGATGAAGAACCACTTTTGGCTTCTACCTGCCAGCAGCAGAAACAGAAGAAATATTTGGCACGGTTGTAACGTCAATGTCCGCTGGTTGGACCTGGACCAGTTGTGGTTGGGTGGACTGCCCCGAGACACATTAACATGCAAGCAGACTTAATACTTTGGTTCTAGGAAAAGTTTTACCAATCATGTTGACATAAACACAATACCTACACTGCAACTGGTCCTAACATACAGTAACCTCAACGCTTACGTAAAGGTTGGACCAATAATGATTTGACTTCTGGCTGTTGATGGACCGTTGTTGTCATATATCATCAGCAATATCAGCTGTTTGAGAAATAGTTTAGTTAAATAGTGCCACCTGGAGGAGGTGTGTGAGTTCCAGTATTTTTAGTGTGTTATAAAAGGCAACCGCCTTTGGACTGGACTTTCAACAGGTTGGTCTGTCAAAAAGGGAAGTCGAGCTAAAAAGGTGGCAGAAACAGAGCGAGTGAGAAATACCTTTAACGTAGCTTCGCCTCATTGTTGCTAACTAAGGACACATTTGCTTCACATTCAGATGTTTGTTAAAGTAAACTCTATGACCTGTCCATCAACCATTAATCAAATACTGACAGTTCTTTCAAGACTGACAAATCTTTCGAGATAAAGGAGGCAAAAAATGTACAAACCACAACTAGAAAACAGACACAGTTGAGGAACCATCTGGGCCTTGGCAGCGTTTAGAACCTCTGAGCTCTTGGTGTACATGTGCCTGTCTAGGAACACAGCGACAAAGTTCCACTTCTTGAAGCCGATTCACAACGAAACTAAGGGGGTTGGAATAAATTACTACAAAAATATTCAAATACTTAACGTCCTGTTCTTTCTGTCCACAAACATGTTTATGGCCATGTTTTTGTTGGATTTGGGAACCACAAGCAGTACCAGTTTAAAAGGTCTACAAGTGTCACTTGACCTTTTTAGTTGAGTTTTTTTTTAATGACACAAAATCATAAAAAAAAAAAAAAAAAAAAAAAAAAAAAGGCTTGAGCGCTCCTTCGAAGTGGCTGAAAAGTCCTTTAAAGATAAAAGTCATCATTCCAGAACAGATCAAGCCTGAAATGTTGGCAGCTTAATTAGCTTAAAACGTCAACCCAGTCACCCCTGAACTGGAGTGGATTGGTCAACAGGACATCCTGCTGTGGTCCCAACACAAGCAGCACAGGTAGGGATGCTGACAAAGATCTCCGCAATAACACCAATCAGTCTGGTGCACAGAGTGGAGAAAGATCAACAAAGATTTTCCAGGTTTTATTATTTCATGATCAACAAGAATCCTGACCTTTTGGAGGTTCTTCTTGGAGGGCTAGCGGTGACCGAGTTTTACCAGGTCCATTTGAGTTTTCACATGGTTGGAACGTCACTTGTTGGTGTGGATCCAACTCATTCATCAGATTCCAGGATTTGTCCCGACAACCAAGTTCAGGTCCTGGTCCTTGATTGGCTTGGGTCGGGCGTGTGTCCAGAGAAACAGATTAGGTTTCATAGGAAGAAAACTAATACCAGTTCAAATTGCATTTTGTTTTCCCCTTGGCCTTAATTTGATGAGGTGCAGTCATTGGTGGTTTAGGATCTGGTTTCAGTTTTGGTTTTACTGAGGTCTACGATGTGTCCTGGGCTCTTTCCGGGCTCTCAGGATTTGTCTGCCAGCTGAGACTGCTCCACAGACCCTTCTTCATCAGACAAACCCGTTTCAACTGCAATGACCAACGATGCAGCGGAGGCGCTGCTAGCCATTGGCAAATGGTCACCTGAGGGAGGAAGCAAGGGGTTAAAAATCAAGAAATCCTGTTTGACTTTTGTTTTTGGACCACAACCCACCTGTGTGTGTATCTGTGGTGGCCGTCAAAGGACTGTCTCTCAGGGGGTCAAGGTCCTGGTAGTCCTGAGGGAGTCCAACCCGTCGCACCCCAGGATCCAGCACCACCGACGAGCCACCTTCGCTGAGCGTGCCATCACTGGACGCCCCGGACACCACAGCCTCCAAGGCCAGGACCCCGACTCCCCCAACTCCACCCACACCAACTCCACCCATACCTCCCAGAGCCAGGTCGTAGTCGAGTGGCAGGTCATCCAGGCAGTCTGCGTTGAGCTGGAGGAGGAGGGAAATCTTTACTTTTAATCTTGGTTCAAAATACAAAAACACTTTTGTATTTACAGTCTCGTTCTGTGTTATTTTAACTGAAGCACTGCCAGGATGTTCACGTACTGAAGGTTTCAGTCTGTTCACCCATCACAACCTAAATCACAACCATCTACAACACAGTACTTTGTGGTTAATTCAGACTGCAATGGAACTGGTTAAATGTCATGTGTGTGGGAGACTCACAGCGATGCCCAGAGCTTTGAGGATGTTCATTTTACACATGGGACACGTGCGATGGTCCAGCAACCAAGGATCTACGCAGCTTTTATGGAACAAATGTCTGCAAACGTCAAGGACAACAAACCATTTGGAGTTGGCCAGTTCAAAGAGTAAACAACAGCCAAGGTCACTCACCTGCAGGGAAGGATGCGGACCACATCATTGGGTTTGTAGCCCTCAATGCAAACAGCGCAGTTGTCAAAGTCGGCCTCCGTCTCTTGGTCGCCCTTTCTGATGGTGCGGACCTGCAGTTTACTAATGGCCTTCTTTGCAGCGTCTCCAAGACGTCGCTGACAAGGAGAGGTAGGAATTAGAGAATGACTATTATGGAAACGAGTGATTAGGAATGATTTGTGACTGATTCTACTCCTGTGATTCCAACTCTTTCCATGACAGGTCAACAAAAAAAATTGACAGAATTGACAGAATACCTGGTTCCTGTCTCTGGCGTTTGCATATCTGAACCTCTGGATGTAGTAGAAGACCAGCCAGGCGAGGGAGATGATCATCAGCACAATGAAGGAGATGGAGACAAACACCACAGATGTCCTGCTCACATACTTCTGCAGGTTCCTTGTTCCAATGGTGATGGTCATATTCACCGTCACGTTTCGCTCCAGCAGCGCCAACACCTCACGGCCTTTAGGCTCTGGAATCATGATGGCAACAACGTCACCTGTGCCTGAGAGACGGAAGACAATAACAGGCTGTAACATATGTCTCAGTAGCTCAGTACATCACCTGTCAAACTGTGTATGGGTGTAACATGTCAAACACTTTGCATAACTTATGAAACACTGTGTATTTGTGTCTACAACTATAACCTTTACAAAACTGCATGGGACCGTGAACGCACCAGAATGGGGCATGGTGATGGTGTCGTTGTTGTTGGAGGAGCCCACGTTAAAGATGACCACCGCGGAAGCGTTATGCGCCGCAGCGTGGCGGATCTTCTCCTTGTAGGTGCAGTTCCCCGGGGCTATTAGCGCCACCCAGGCCCCAGCCTGGACGGGCACTGGAAAGCGGGTGTTGGGGTCGCAAGCCTGGCGGTCGACCGGAAGGACCACCACCCCCTTGGCGTCCCTCTTCGGAGAGTTCTCCCCGTAACGGCCGCACTCCGTCTTTTCTGAACGGAAATCCCTGGTGGCCGGGTCCTCGTAGGAGATGTTGACGAAGGCGGTGTACCACTCCTCCCGCTCGGCCACAGTGAAGTCCAGGCACAACAGGTGGACGAAGCAGAAGGAGAGCAGCCACGTCGAGAGGGCCAGGCTGCGGCAGGCCGCCACCAGTGAGCCCGGGGCCATGCTTAGCCTCCCCGCTGAGAACGAGCCAAGCGTCCGTCGAGGCTCCGGCAGACGCCTACTCCACCATGTTCACAAAGTACACCCAAGAGCCTGACTAATTTATTCACTTCACCTTAAAAATCACCTCTGACGGCTGCCTTTAATTGTTGTTATTATTCCT